CCGTTGATTTCAGGATGGGAGATCAGGGTAGCCACATCTGTGGAAAGTGTGGAAAGGGTCATGCCGGAGTTTGTCGGTCCAGTGGAGCATGCCGCAAGTGCGGAAAGGAGAGACACTATGCGAGGGATTGTCGGCAGTCAGTGCCGGTTCGGGATTTGAGGATAGGTTATCATTGTCATCAGGTTGGACATTTGAGGGTCAACTATCCACAGCTTGCTGCAGGACCGGTGCAGGCTCCAGCACCGGCTACGTTTAGGATCATAGGTGGAGGTCAGGGTGGAGCGGAGCCCCCAAGGGCTTAGGGTCTTGCTTTTCAACTTGCTGCTGCGGGTATGTTTCTTTCTGTTGTTTTGATTATTTATGATTATTATGGAGTATCGTTATCTGCTAGTCTCGTTGGATGGTTAAGGAATTGCGTTTCGAGTTTTCGTGTGGTATCCGTTGTTCCTTAAGGGTTTGGCGAGTTGTGTTCGGGATTTCATTTTGGTATCCTTTGTTCCCTGAAGGATCGATATGACTATGGATTAGTGCTTCGAGCTATCGTTGATTATCTATAGGAGGATTAGTGACGGTTGTGGCATTGGGATGAATGTCGGGTAGCCGCTGCAGTCTGAAGAATGGATATTTGAAGATTGGGTTCCTTTCGAGCGGGTTGTTCAGTGTGAAAACATGATTTTTATGAAAGTTGTTAGCGCTGGTAAGAAACATTTTGCGTGTAAGTGTTGATTTTCTGCAAGGTTGCTTTGGGGGATCCGTGATGGCGATCGGTGATTAATTGTCACTATCTTAAGTGGGGGAGAATTGGAACCCAGGCGAGAGCAGGCTCGTATGAGTGAGTAACAGGCATGCGGGGAGAAATACAGACCTAGGGCATTTGATTGTGGAAGGCCTGGGAGCAGGCCGGGATCGAGTATCTATAATGGAGATAGAGTTTGGAACCCCTAGAGGGCTAGAACGGTATGCATGGGAGGATTTCCCGAAGAGATAGCTCAGAATGATGAATGCTTGTTGAGCGGTCCGGATAGACTGAAGGCCGATAGGCGTACCTGTCAAGCCGAAGGCTCGGAGGACGGTCCAGTCAGATTGGCTGAAGGTTCTGAGAGTGGTCTAGATTAGCTGAAGGCCTGGGGAGGTGGTCCAGTCATGCTGAAGACTCTGCGAGTATTGTTGGATCGTTTCGAGGACATGTATTGCATATGTTACAGTGTGATTACATTGGGAGTTCTGGCCCCGGGTAGCGATCTTGAGCAGTGAAGGTAGTGCATTGGCTTGAGAGTCCCTGCGATGAGAGTCAAAGTAGTGGTGATGTATGGATGTCGGGTGCGCTTTAAAAAGATGGTGAAGCGTGGGGTGAGCACCGTGGTACTTGTCGTGGTGACAAAGCGATCGAGTGGTTTCCATGGTAAGGAAAGAGGGAGGAATGGAATTCCGAAAGGAAGTGCAAACTCACGGAAGTGAAAGCGGCAGTGTAGAGTTATGATCGGAGTGGCCCGACGGTGGTCATTGAGCAGCATGTGCAGCGGCGGTTTGGGATGACATCATGAGGGGATGCCTGTCGGGGTTGCAGAAGGGATTTCCGAGGCTGTAAAGTCAAGAGGCTCGTAAGGGATGAAGATATTGAGTTTTGGGTTTCCAGTTTGATTTCGGGAAGGATTTGTGCATCAGTGGTTCATCCTGAGGGATGTTTTGAGGATCGTCGGAGTGATGGGTTTCCTAACCCGAGGGTGCTAGAGCTAGTTCAACATGTGCATGCGATTACAAGAAGAGAACTCATGTGAGTTGCTCTGAAGAGTGCGTCCTTCTGTCAGCCTGGAATGGATAGAGTTGGACTCGAATCGGGAATCAGGTGGTGCATGATTAACTTCTAGCTCATATGGGTCGAGTAATGGTTGTGATTTGAAGCAGTAATGGATTATGGGTAATTCTCGGTTGATTGAGTGCGGTTATCGGAGGGTACAGCTGCGTCCCGGTTTGAGTAGGTGGTTGGGACACCATATGAAAGGAGAAAGTGAGCTTATGGTTTCTATGGTTGTGCCTTGAGGAACCTGGTCCGATTAAGGTCAGGCGGCGCGTCATGGGAAGTATTTTGAAGTTGAGATGCCGTAGGCTTCGAGGACGAAGCCTAATTTAAGTGGGGGAGAATTGTAACATCCTGGAATCGCAAGAGTAGAGTTGAAGGGCTAAAAGTGTAAGTTTTGGAGGGCAACTCGGCGAGTCCATGGATGGACTCGGCGAGTCAGGTCGCGACTTTGGTCGCGTGTCAAGTGGCCTACTCGGCGAGTCCAAAGATGGACTCGGCGAGTAGGTGCTGAGTGGAGAAAACCCTAATTCTTGGGGTTGAGCCCTATATAAAGAGCATTATGTTTCCTCCCCATCCTCTTTATCACCCCCTTGAGTCCCAGAAACCCTAAAATCATGGAGAAGCACCATTGTTGAGTGGATTGGAGCTGGGAGAAGTAATTGTTGAAGAAAGTTTGGAAGTTTGAAGGTGTGGAGCAAGGGGCTTTGCTTGGTTTCGAGTTCCTTGCAGATTGGGGCATCCTTTGAAGGTAAAATCTTGTTCTTGAGCTGCTATTATCTAGATTCTTCACTTTTGGGGATGTTGAGATCACATCTTTTGGTGTTTTGGAGTCTAGAGGTTAGATCTGAGGTTGCTACCTCAGATCTGGAATGGAGAAGGGTTGGAATGCCTGAAAGTCCCTGTGATTGAGTATGTAGTGAAGCTATCTTGTCCCAAACTTTAGCCCTAATGTGTATAATGCCTAGATCTTCATGGATTCATGTAAAGTTTGCCACTTTACGTGATGGATGGGTTGTAGGAGGCTGGATCTATGTTTTGGATCAATTGCATGGCCTGGGATGTTTCTGTATGGATTCAGACCAGTGGTACTCGGCGAGCCACAAGGGTGGACTCGACGAGTTGCTTGAAGATGAGCTGGAACTCGACGATTGGATGAACAACTCGGCGAGTAGGTTGAAGATAGCCTTAGACTCGGCGAGTCTGTTCTTGGACTCGGCGAGTCTTGTCGAAGAGTCCCAATAATTTATGGTTGAGTCGAGAATCGGCGAGTCAAGGGATGACTCGGTGAGTTGGGTGTGAGTAGACTCAGAGTGGTTGGACTCGGTGAGTCTTGGGGTGACTCGGCGAGTCTGGTCGCGGATTGAGGGAAGTTCTGAACTTGGGGACTCGGGGAGTCATGGGGTTGACTCGGTGAGTAGAGTCACTTGTCCAAGGGTTGAGCAGTTGTCTTCCAGGGGTATTTTGGTAAACAAAGGTATATATTGAATTGAGTGTTTTGGTGTTCAGTGGAGGAGTTCGTGTCGGAGTTCGGAGCAGCGGGATCTTATCCTTACAGCCGGCAGTTTCGAGGTGATTTGTCCTCACTATATCAACAGGGTCTAAGGCACCAAGGCCGACCCTTTATTGGATTGAGATTCGGATATGGTTATTATGTTATTGTTTGATATGTCTGCATCCTGGTAGCTAGGATGGTATATGCTGGAGACCTAGTTAAGGTCCGTTTCCCAATATGTAGAGTGATGCTATGCTAGTGACCGGTTAGGTCGGTAACCTGGTTAGGCTGATGATATGCTATGTGATCTGCTTGCTCGGTTTGTTGACTATGACTATTATATGATTGTATGTTATGTGCACATGGTTGTTTGGACTGGAGATGGGTTGAGGCGGGTCCTGTTTTGTGCTGTAGGCCAAGATACCCAGGGCGGACCGGTTATTCCGAAGGCCCAGTGAGCGGTTCGGATAGGCTGTAGGCCCCACGAGGGCGGACCAGACGTGCCGAGGCTCGGAGAGTGGACCAGACCGACTGAAGGCCCGATGCGGGCGGACCAGTCACATTGTAGACTCAGAGAGTGGACCAGGTGGGTTGAAGGCCCGGTGCGGGCAGACTAACCACACTGTAGACTCGAAGGACATGATTAGACTCGGAGAATGGATCCGGTGGACTGAAGGCTAGATACGGCAGACCAGTCACACAGTAGTCCGGATATGCATGGCTGTTCTATGTTCTATTATGTTATGTATGTATTATATGTTATGCGCCGGAAGGCAATATGTTTGGGACCGGAAGGTCTTATCCTGGAAGGGCGTATACGTGGTTGGTATTTTGGGGGTATCTCACTAAGCTTTCGGGCTTACAGTTGTGGTTTAATGTTTTTCAGGTTCTTCAGGAGACTGTGGCAAGGCGAAGGCATGATCGTACCGCTCCTCATAATTTTGTAGCAATGTGATTCTGGGAATACTCTAAATGATTTGTATTGAAACCCTTTTTGTAAAAAATTTAATGAAATCGGGTTGTTTTTGAAAAATTTAAATTGGTTGCATTTTTCGGTCGTTACACGAAAAGTTTTTTAAGCATACCCCAAAGAAAAAGTGCAAAGTGAGCCACCTCCGACAGTTGCTCCTAAACCAACTTCAAAGCCTGATGTAGAAGTATTACCTTTGAAGTCTGTTGTGATGAAGAAGTTAAAGAAGATGGCTAACAAACCTTGTCATTCTCCTGAACGATCAAGAATTTTTCACCCACGTTTAAAGTCAATCCACAAGTTAATCGCAAGGGGGTTATATTTCGAGAAGTTCAAGTGCCCGTTTCTCTAGCATCTAAGAAAGGAGAGAATAATATAAGGCAAAACATCTTTCTAAGAAGCATAAGAAGAAGCTCAAGAACTTGTTTATTCATGATGATTTCATGGATGAGGAAGTTGTTCCTGAGTCTCCACTTCACGAAGATCAAATGGGCCGTTCTTCACCTGTGAGGGATTCTCCACTCAAGTCGAATATTGAGGCGACTGGGAATCTTGATGGCTCTGTGGAAATTTCTAAAGTAGGCACACCTATTAATTCAGGTGAACAATCAACAACATCTACTCCTGAGCAGACTACTGTCATACCATCCGAAGTGTCGAATGCCGAATCATTTTATGAGGAGGTTCGCACTTCAGACATCACTACGAACATATCTAATATGGATGCAAATATCAATATGGGTGAAGGAGTTTCACATACATTTGGCCAATGTAATCCTTCTCTTATTATATCCTCCACATTCGAAACATTTCTTGTTGATACCTCAATTTCTTTACCTCCATTCACTATTCCTACATCAACAAAATCACCTCCATCAACTCATTCACCTACTTTCGATAATGTCATGAATCAACCTATTACATCCCTGTTTTCATCCCAATCCACTGATCCCCCATTGATTCAAGAAGATGATGATCAGACTGGTGATGATGATGAGTTTGATAGTAACTTTGCTGATATTGAGTTTCATCCTGAGGAAGAGAACATTCCAAATAATATGTTGCTCACCGGGAAGCATTTAAAAATTCTGATATGAAAACTCAAATCTTTGTTACAAATTCAATCTAATACAAGGGGAAAGCATTATGTGTTGAGAATAGAAGTTGATATGTTGTTAAAGCGTCAATAGCATAGACTTCAAGATGCAATTGATCATTTTGATAGTAATAATTAGAAGAGGGTGAAGGCACAATCAGATTCATTTAATTCTAAATTGAGGAATTTAAAGGATGTTGCAAAAGAGAGGCATATTCTTTTTATTCAAGATGTGAAGAAAGTTCGAGAAGATGTGAATCTGAAAATTCAAGGACTTCCAGAGGATATGGGAAAAGAAGTTATAGTTTTACAACATGATTATTCATCTTTTCATTAGAAGGTTGACATAATTGTTGATGTTGTTACAAAATTTGTTAAACTGTATGAGTCTTTTGCTCCAAAAATCGAAAAGATGGCTCAAGATGATGTTCAAACCTTTGTGAACATTCACAAGTTGTTGGTCGAGTTGAAAGGATTGGTGCTGAAGTCGAGTTTTGTTTCGTCTTCGTTGATTAATCCTAAACTTCTTTCCGTGGAGTTTTCATTACTGAATTCGACTATTCAAAAGGAATTAGCTCGAATTTCGAAGTTGATCAATATGATGCCAACCGATGACCCACCTATTTCCATAGGGGAGCAAGGGGGTGAAAAAGGAAATGTTGGCAGTGGGTAAAGATTCTGAACTGGTGGAAGTGCATCAAACGAGATCGATGATGTTTTGAAGGTTGTTGTAAAGGTATCTTTTACTCAACTTCTTACTTCTCTATTAAATGTATCTAAAGTATCGACATCCACAACAACAACAACAAAGTCTTTATCAAAAGGTGTGGTTATTTGTTCCATTGGTGGAGGATCAAGTTCTTCAAAACCTCCTCCTACCATAGAACATATGCAAAACACAGGAAAAGGTGTACTTCATGAGCCCACACTTGAAGAGAAGAAAGTTACCGTGGAACAAGGATTGGCGAAACAAACAAAGATACAAAGTATACTTAGACAAAGAGCCAATGATCCACCAGGTCTAAAAAAAGGTGACCCTGCAAAATATTTCAATTATGAATGTATTGAAGCCACTGTTGTTTCTAGTGAGATGCATTCATTCAGTAAAACTCCCAAGAAAAGCAATGACATTGAGAACACTAAATTCAATCAGTTAGACTTCCCAATAAACAGTATGATGTTTCTTGATGAACAATTCGAAATTTCCAATTAGTACAAAGATAAAATCGAGTTCAAACACTTGAAGTTTCATTTCCATGCGGTTCTAGGGAAGAATGAAGAGGATATTTGGTAATCAGTCAAAATAGTTTGAGTTCTCAACGTAACCAAAGACATTTTGTTCGAGGGTATGTTGCAGAATTATCGATTCTATGCAGTCCAAGCAAATAATGTCACTTTTGAATTCTTGGTTGCTGACTTTCCTTTGTTGAACATGTACGACTTGTTGGTAGTTGCAAAGATTATGAAGTCAGTTGATGTGTCGAAATTGCAAATAACCAACAAAGGTGATTTAATGATTTGTTTTGCACATCTGAGAGTTTTTATTGATGGATATTATAGGGCTTTGGCTTTGACAAATATTGAGCTTGCTACAACATTAGGAAAACGAGTTTCTGTTCCCAAATCATTGATAAAGAATCAAGCTATGCCGAAAGATTATGAAAATGGGGAGATTTTTCTGAAACCCCTAAGGATTGTTTTTGTTGGAAATAACAAAAAAGACAGTGTTATGAAATTTCTATTTCATGTTTGTGACATTGAAAAGTATACTTTTTTATACGACACACATCTTTTGATTCGAATGAATCTTTATGCAAATATTTAAACGACCTTCAGACGGGTACCTGATATCCCACCAACCACATCTCAAGCGCGAAAAGGAAATAGGGTGGATAGCCTTCCTAAGTCTTTTAAATATTCCTCATATAAATATACATATATAGTCATGCAATTTATAATATAAAAGCATAAAGTAAGTTTTGTAAAACTTTTGAACATAATTATTATCTAAGAAAAGATTGACTTGTTGTCAATCTAGAAAACGGTTTGAAGGCATGGGTTTGATAAAACAGTTTAGTATAAAGAAACATTTGTTTGAAACACAATTGTAAATGAGTTTGAAATGAAACATACAAAGTAAAATGTACAGTGTAATAAGGAGTTTTAAACACATATAGTGTTTATGAAAAACATTTGAAGTAAACTGTTTGGTAAAACGGCTAATGAGTATCCAATCATTTGAATGCTTCTTACTAATCACCTGTAATTGATATAGTAACTAGCATGATTCTACTTGTATCCCCCGCATAAGACATTTAAAAATAGTTAAAACGTTGATTAAAGGGTGTGAACTCACCTGTTGTGGGTGATACGGATGAACTGAAGAGGTAGGACTGCTAGGTGTCAAGTGAAGACTTTAGACACACACAATGGTCCTAATTTCATATGAAGACATGTGTAATTAAACATGTATAAACATCCTAATGTGAGGAAAACACTTTTGGTCAAGCGCTACGAGGCTAATGGGTTGCAACAAAGGAGTGACAGGCCTCTTATGGGAGTTTATGGTCAAAAGACCATATGTGTTAGAGTTTACGGCCCAGGGGAGTAAACTCCTGGCCGAAAACTCTCTATAGGGTCACTAAATGAAGCTTAACATTATTACAACTCAAGTGGTGAAGTGCTTCCAGGCTTAAACAAGTGTTTGGGCTTCCTTTTAACTCCATTGAGGAGTTCACAGCCCTGGGACCAAATCCCATGGAGATTACGGCCGTAATCTCCCTTGGGAGTGTGTTTGTGGTGTTTTCAAGTCCCTAATTTCTCTAGGAACTATACTAGGCTAGTGTACAAGGCTTTAGAAGAGTTTATAGCACCATTTGGCACTACTATTTCGAGTTCACGGCCCTGGAACTTTTTGGGCCGTGAACACCTTACTCTTGGTTTTCTAATGGTGTTTGCTAGTCCAAAACGCATTAGGGTACACGTCTAAATTCAAGCCTAAGCCTTAGGAAGTGTTTGTGGCATCAAAACACCCCTAACTTGAGTTTTCGGCCCATGAACCAATTGCTCATGTGTTTGCGGCCGTGAACACCTATAGGTGTTGGTATTTTGATTGTTTTGGGTCCTAGACACATCAAGGTAATGTGCTATGCTAGTCTCTTGGTTCAATGAAGGCATTTAGGGCATTTTGGCAACCTAAAATGGAGTTCACGACCCAAGAACTTCCTTGGTCGTAAACTCACTTTCACCCTTGATTCTTAATTGTTTTGTGGTCTAAACATGTAATGGTAGCTTCTAGGTTCATTTCCAAGGCTTTGAGGGAGATTGGGCACACTTTAGCCCTTATAAAGGAGTTTACTCTCCAAGTGTTCTTGGGCGGTAAACTCCCAAATCTTGGGGTTTTGATCCGATTTTCATGTTATAAAACACAATCTAAGCTATATAATATAACTAGATATAAGTACTCACGATTTGGGATAAAAACCCGAAGATCCGTGAGAGAGAATTCGGCTTTTCTCTAGTTGGAAATGCAACTAATGAATGAATATGGTTCAGATTTCTATATATAGTCCTGAGATTTTTGGCAGAAAATATTTTATTCCCGGAATGAACTCTAATATCATAGAGTATTGGAATAATAGTGTTGCACAAAACCCTAGTGCATCCACTCTCCTGATATCTCCTTAAGTACTAAACCTGAAATACTCAAACTTATACCCACAGTCTGAAATTTTACTATAACTGTTCTAACTCCTATTGGCTTGATATGGTTTGTTTAGAATGGAAATTTCGGGTTGTCAGATTATTAGGCGTTGTTACTCAATTGAAAACCATAATCGAGCACTTTGGGAAGAGAATGGATAATTGGGAAAAAGATAAACAATTTGGTGTTAATGATATGTAAAATGTGGATGCGGGGGAAGCATTTTTACATGGTTTGGATCCCAAGTCAGGCCATACGTATGTGCAGATGCCACCACTTGTTGCGGTACAAAATGATTTTTTTTCTAACATGCAGCATTTGGTTATCTGGACGTTCCTACTCAAGGAAATAAATTCGTCAACTGGTAGGTGGACGATTATTAATCCTGAAGGCATGACTTTGGAACCTGGGAAGCAACATTATTTGAGGCACGTAGCAGCTGGGATGGTTGATGGACCACATTGGAAGGATATTGACTGGATTAGTATATATATATATATATATATATATATATATATATAGATATGTATATATATATATATATATAAATTTAATATGTATATATATCTATTAACTTATCATTTTTTGAAGGTTTTAATTCCCATCAACATATTGCACCTGCATTACTATTTTGTTGATTTTGATCTCCTTACATGGAAAGTGAGTATATATGATTCAGCCGAATGGTGTGGTTTCTTTAAAAGGTATATTGGTGATGGTAGTTTCAAATCATTTGGGAGATAGTATATTAAGTGAACTAAACCACATATCATATTGGGCCCATTATCCCAATAGACAGAAACCTACTAAGGTGGAATTCGTTAAAGCTAAACATGTGCCAGAACAAGAAAAAGTAGAAGAAGGAGAAAGAGGAGATTATGGAGTTTTTGTGTGCATCTTCATGGAAATGCTTGCATCGGGTGTACCAGTAGAGACATGATCGTCACCTAGAGATACGAGATTTAGTTATCGTAATAGGATGGTAGAAATTATTTGGAATAGTAGACTTTGATGGTATTATCAATATTGTTTTAAGAATATTTTCTTATGTTTTGATTATGTTATTTGGAATAGTAGACTAGTATAGTAGAGTTAAATTTACAAATTAAGTTAATGTACAAGATAATACATATTAAAAAATTGTACAACAATACTAATCAACTTAAGGGAACTGCAATGGATACTTATCTTTATCTATATAGTCGTCCCTAATTCTTTGTCTTCAAAATGATCTTTTTGTCGCCCAAGTTCTATCATTTCTGCATCCTTCTCCGCAAGCCTGTTTTCAGTCATTTTGATACTCTTCTTAGTCTTTTTTATCCATTCTTCATGCTCTTTGATTTTATTTTTATTAATATGCATCCTTTCCACAACTTATTTGCACTCTTCTGCAATAATGTCACGACGTTTAGTGAGAGCCTGAGATGACTCTGTATCTATTTTTTGTTGTTCTTCAGCCCATTTCAATTCTTGCAAAGGATCATCAGGCATATATTGCCCTCAGATTTTTGGTGACGGTGCAACAAAAAGGTCAACTGGATCACAATAGTAACAATTAACTTCATTGCAGAGCAAAAATAGAAGTCTGAAGATGACTTCATATTAAAATTCTATATATTTTGTGTGTGGTTATCCAATTTAAACTAAATCCCTATTAATTACTTCACATAAATGTTAGGAAATACGCAAAACTGTTTTCTGCGGATCGGTGTACACCTCTGCGGATCTATGTATACCTTTACAGATCAGTATACACCTTTGCAGATCACTTATAGAACTACTTTTTGCGGATCAGTGTACACCTCTGCATAATCTTAAGGGAATATGCAGAACTCTTTTCTGTGGATCAGTTATAGAAGCTATAGACGTATTTAATTGGTTTTTTGTGAGTTTGTGAGTTGCAATTACCAGTAGAAGTTGTTTTTCATTGTGTTTGTGGAGAGTGATTTGTAAAATGAGTTTTATTGTTTTGTGTGTGGGAGGGTCGTGGCAATTACTTAATGGAGATGAGGTTTACGTAAGAAATAATGTGAAAAACTATGGTTTAAATCTTCCTCCTAACATTGACCATGAAATGTTATTACAAATGGTTAGAACTATGGTAGGTGTGTTAAATAGTCACATATGTTTGTCTTTTAGACACCCGAAGTTAGGTTATGTCATGGAGCTTGGAGATGAAACTGGTGTATCTCAATTGAGACATGTAATGTATGAATCAAAGAAGACGGGGCATTAGTATTTAATGGTGGTAGGTGAAGAAGCTGAAGAACAAGTAGTGGTTAACAACCAGTTTAATCCAACAAAAACTAATAGAGGTCGTAGAGAAAGCCAATGTGATGGAAACCGTTCAAAGGCAAGAGGAAATGAAGTGCCAGTGCGTTATGAAAGAAATGTTTCGGTTACTAATACATTTGTATATGATAATGATACTTTTGTATCAAATAATGATAAAGAAGCAAAAGTGGGCATGATTGAATTACAGCGTCAAAATTTGTTCGAGTTTGGAGAAGTTCCTGAAATTGATGATCGAATATGTGAGGAAAAATCAAATGAAGGGTGGTCGGATGATGAGCACACGCAATGGAAAATTGCTTTTAATCCATGGTATTGTATTCATTCTACTCCTAATTGTCCATAACCTATTCTTGAACCTGGACCATTTCAAAGTTTAGGTCGGAATGATAAATTAATTGTCAATCAAACCTATAACACCAAAAAATACCTAGCATTTGTTGTTAAATTCAAAGCCGTTAGAAAAACGTTTCAAATAAAGGTTGAACAATCTTCAAAATCTCGATACTAGGTTGTTTGTATGCAAGAAAACAGTCATTGGCGTTTATACACATCTCTCATTAAAGGAACAAAAATATTTGAAATTAAGACGTTTAATGACGAGCATATGTGTTCTTCATTACTGATATACCCAAGTCATAGGCATGTAAATATCGAAGTTGTGGGAACCATAATACATGACATTACGGTTCAAAGAAGTTTGAGAGTTTGGAAGCCTAATGATATAATTAGAGATATGAATGCTTTGCTACAAATAAATATGAGTTATTCACAAGCGTGGCATGCTAGAGAATTTTCTTTGGGATTGATGATGGTGTCCCCCAAAGAAAGTTTCTCCAAACTTCCAGTTTATTTTCACAATCTGAAGAAACATAATCGTGGTGCTGTGGCATACATAAAAACTGATTCGAATGATTGTTTTAAGTATTTCTTTTTTGCTATTGGATGCGCGGTAATATATTTGTAAATATATTTTTATTTTCTTAAATGTTTATAAAAAATTATACTGTTGATATATTAATAGTTTTTATATTGTTGTTGCAGATATGTGCTTTCTGGGAGTGTTGTAGAAAAGTTATTATTATGGATGGTGCTCATTTGAAGTGAAAGTACAAAGGAACCATTTTGCATGCAGTAGCCATGGATGTCAACAATCAGATCTTGCGTATTGGGTATGGAATTTTCCCAAAAGACACTACGAATTCTTAAAAAACTACATGAATTCATTGGTGATGTGGAAGGTTTGACAATGGTCACAGATACGGCACCCGCAATTACTATAAGTATTCAAAATGTTTTTCCAAATGCTCAACATGGATTGTGTGGTTTTCATCTAATAGGAAACATAGTCCACATCTTTGGAAAAAAAAACAACAACAATTTTGTTTTGGAAGTTGGTAAGAGCTTACAAAATCACTATGTTTGAGTTCTATTGGGGGAGACTTCGTAATATATGATAGGATGTAGGGACATATCTCAGTCAAATTCCAAGTGAGAAATGGACCAGAGCGTATTGCATACCATGAGGTATGATTATATGTCCTCAAATAGTGCAGTGTCCATGAATGTTGTATCAAATAAAGCAAGGAAGTTGCCTATATTACCACTTTTTGAGTTGTTTCGCGCACTTATGCATAAATGGTTTTACAAACGATAGATGGTTGCAGTTATGATTATGTTTAGTTTTAAATTATATGATAAATGTTATATATATAATAATATATGTTTGTTTTAACAGAAAAAGTACAACAATACTTAAGAAAAGGGCTGAAGATATGGTCAGTATCCGGTGTTGACAATACAACATATCAAGTGCATGACTTCAAAAGTGGCGGCATAGTGAATTTGAGGGAAAGGACTTGTTCTTGCAAATATTGGAAACTAACTGGTTTGCCATGTGGTCATGTGATAATGGTTTTAACGCACTTGTAAAATGATCATTATGGGCACATGGTTATAGATGCTTATAAAAGTGAAACATATCGAAGAACGTACGAGCAGGCCGTATACTCTCTTTCAGAACTTAGTGATTGGGAGGTTCTGGATGGCCTTATTGTTGTTAACCCTCATGTGATGGAAATACGTGAAGTCGGTAGACCAAAAAACATGAATCATATTCAAGTTTAAACAGATTATAGTTATAAGCTTAAACACCTGATCCAACAGTCTCCCACTTGGATAACTCTAATAACTATAGTTCCAAGTATAACTTCAAAATTTTACTAGCAAATTTTAGCTACCAAAAGCTGTTGTCAAACTCTAACCTAGTTAGTAACGTGTCCTTAGATAAGTGATCAAATACTCCTCCGTTCTACAAGATATCGTATGGACATGAGATATGGATTATAATCAATCTCTATGTCCAAGATTTGTTTCTTGGTTTCCGATTAATGACAACTAATATCAGACTACTAATTGAACACATCATTTAAGTCCAGGCTTGGCGAAGCACTTTAGATGTCATCATCAAATCATGAAGGGGCCCATAGATATTTCTTTTCCCGTTAGGAAAAAATGAACGGATAAACTTTAACTTATATTCTTGTACCATTTACTCATCAAATCATGTGCAACAATACATTTTACAACATCAAGTTAATGATGCGTTTACATATTATCAATGGACCATTGACTTGTAAACAACAAATCATATATCTAAGTTTCAATAATATAAGATATGATTGTCTCGGAATTACTTGTGATAAAATCGATGAAGTAATTCTTTGAGAGTGGATTCATCCAATACTTAATTCCCCATTTTAAAAGCACCCATGAATATTGCAGCAAACCATTGCTATGTCTAACCCCTTAGACAATCTACAGTCTGATTCATGACATTCTTAATTCGCTACTTACTTCCAAAAGAACGATCGACTGTGGATGTTTTAAGAATCCAATCATTCAAGAAGTAAAAATGTGAAATTAAACACAATAATAGCCTAATTAACTATGGTCTCAAAACCATTGAATTTAAATAAAACACTTATTATTTAATCACCATATTAATTAGACTTTATTAATTGTATAATGTTTCGATTAATCAACTAAAAACGTAAATTAAACATCAATCATACCATGTTATAAACATGCATACTATGTCTCTCTATGGTCCTTCCTTTGTGAACATATCTATTGGACATAACTCCAATGATGCTCATATCACAATTCCAAATCCTTATTACAAGTGCAAGAATTCCAAATTATTGTCACCACTAAATGTGTTAAGAGTCTAACCTTGCATGCAATATCCTTTTGTAATGATGTGGCATCAAAGTCGTCGAGACTTAGCCAACGATATCACAAAATGATCCATTGAAACTTTTTTAATTAAAACAATTTCATGGTAATGAAGTATCAAATTCAAGGTAACTCCCACTACTAGAAAAACAGCCTTTTACAACGCTCATTGCGCGTCGTAAAAGGATCAGAGGATGCGCAAATGCGCGTCAAGGAAGGCCCTGTCATAAAGAGAGACGACGCGCTTTTGCGCGTCATCTATAGACGACGCGCATTTACGACGCTCATTTACGATGCACAATTACGACGCGCGTTTACGACACGCAATGCGTATCAAGGAAGGCCCTGTCATAATGGAAGACGACACGCATTAGCGTGTCGTAACCTGACGACGCGCGTGTTAATGACACACAATACGTATCAAGAAAGCCCCTGTTAAGAATGGCCATGTCATAAATGAAGATGACACACATTTTTGCGTATCATAATTTTAAATGTTTAAAAAAAATATTTTTTTTATAGATTTACTTATTTTCAAATTAAATTTGTATTTAATGTTTCATAATAGAAAATAAAATATCATATACAAAAAATAGAATCCATTGCATAAATTTAATGTCATACACATAATCGTTCCATGGAAAGATGAAACAAATCAATAGAAGTTGTAACAAAAATTTACAAACAAATTAGATACAAAAAATACAATCCATTGCCCCTTTGCTTTTTCAAGATCAACCTGCAAGTAGCTAACTAATCTGTACAAATTCACCCTTGTTTCTAATCATTTTCTTAAATACTTTACAAACATAATTCATCCATAGTACCTGAACTATAGTTGCAGCCTTGTTTCTTCTTCTTCTGAACTTATCTCTTGCAACCATTTCTCTAAGCCGGGTCTGAATAGATACAACAGCTTGATAAAAAACATACTTTATTTTCTCATTGGTTCCACAAGAATAAGAAAAAAATAAACAAGGCCTAAGCAACAACATATCAGGGTTAAAAAAGTAAACCATTTCACTCACTCAGCAAGCTAGCCTCACAATCTGGCTACAAAAAGTAAAAAAAAAAAAAGGGTATTGGAACTTATACATATACTAGTTAGTTACATCTAAAATCAAACAAAAGAATACAATACCATTATTCATCTCATCTGTGGTTGTTGAGAGAATTGAGATTAATCAGTTAGCATCCTCTGCTCGACTGCCCAATTTCACTATGTCTTCAACAAGAATATTCCCCTCTGTCATACAATACACATACCAAAACAAGTCAAGTTGTTGGGTATAAAGACAAAGTTATTAAGATGTGGTGTGGATTTTGAAGGAATTGGAATTTGAGCTTTGTTTGGTTGCCAAATGGATGGAACTTTAATGGAGCATGTTCTTGCCCTAGTTGTTACTCATACTGGTCAAGGGTATTGTGTTTGTCCAGATATTGACCTTCAATGGAGTTTTGCCTCCCAAATTCTAACAATTCCTTTTCTGTGGAAGATTTTTCCTCACCTAAAGGAGGTAATTCAGTTGTAAAAACATTTCATCAATTCATCTATCTATTTTATTTGGCTTCCACATATTGAAATATGTCATTGTTTCTATGTCTAGACTTATGTTTAACAGGGGCTATGTCAGTATTATCTTCATAAAATGGCAACATGTAGTCAAAATTATGAAAAAATATTACCTGTTGACATATCAGCTGAGTCGCCCTTCATGTTCTTACAATATAGTACTAATATAGTACCAATATTTATGTTGCTTAATTTAATTACATGTTCTTAAAAATTATTCCATCAACTCTTTCAAGGAAAAATCCTCTCTAGTACTAGTAAGCAACCTCATCAACATGTCCATTGTATTATTATATTCAGGCATAGATATAGATATAGACGGCCTTGCAGATAATGAGCGTTTGTATTAACTGTTAGGATAAATCAAAAAATAAGATACAGGGGTATTTTCGGAATTTTTTTATTTAGTAGCTTTTCTTCTAGTTTTTGTGTTTGAGAATCTTGAATTTCTATACTTCATAAAAATACCTACAAATAATATAGAAAGAAAAGGCAACCAAACAGAGTTTTTGTCATCTGATGTATACGACTTCTTGCAACAACTTCATCCATCCATGCACCACCTCTTTTCTCAGCTGGGCGAGAGTATCGGTCAAAGTAAAAATAGGAAATGGGTTTGGCTGATAAATCCTTGATACGATAAAATCTGACATCAACATTCCAAACCTACACATTTAGAAGAAAAAAATACATAAGAAAGAAACGAAATCCCAAAAAAGAAAAAAAAAATACATCATCATCACCTAATTTTCGTGTAATTTCTGTTAGGCATCCAGCCTGACACTATGGCCGGTCCAAGCAAATCTGAGGCTTGGGGCAAACACAAAAAGAGGCCCTTAAAGTTAATACTAGCATTAGCATATGGATTTACTGAGCATGCAAAGAATCATAGTAATACTCTTTCACATGATAAAACTCCAGAAAGTATGTAGCCATATACATGTAAAACCCTTTCAAAACACATATTCACTTTTATTGATAAGCTGATTAAGATGTATCTATGTATATGACCAGTAACTTTTGCAATTAGCAAGAATACATAAATAGAAGCAAAAAGGTAAGGAAACCACATTAATGTAAATTACATCTTATTTTAGTTGCTATAGTACCTAAAATTTTCTAGTCTTAAAAGGCAAAAAAACAAATAAAAGTAGACACCCTTGTTGGTGTAAAATTCATAACATATATATATATATATATATATATATATATATATATATATATATATATATATATATATATATTAAAAGGAAGCGGTTTTAATCACTTACAACCTTCTGCAAGGATTCGTTTGTGACTCTTGGGGAGGACTTCCTTGAAACCTGGACAGCAACATTGGCTGAGAAGAATGCTTCGTTTTTGTGACCAGCTAGAGAACCAACAAGATCATTAGCCCAGATGTTCCTTCCATCAACAACTCCAGCAAAAAGGTATTTCCCTGATGGGAAGCTGCTCTTGATCAAGTCAAGAGCCTTTTCACCACGGATAAAATCAAAAGTGAAACCAGAAACTCCAGGTAATGAAGTTAGGGTTTTGAAAGCTTCAGCTGGAATATCAGCAAAGTAGTTGGCAACAATAACATTATGACCAGAGAAGGCTGATTCTAGCTCAGAGTAGGCCTTGGTGAAACCTTTCAATTGGTACCCCTCAAGATCCTTCACAAGGGTAGCCACGTCAACTTGGATCTATGTAGCACCTGCTTCTTTTAACTCAACAATCACTTCCATGCAGGGGTAATTCTTGTTGTAATGAAACTGGGATTCTACTTTATTGTAAAGAACATGAAAATGATTAGGAAAAAAAAGCATACTTGTAGATTGGAAGGATTTTATCAAGAAGAGACAGAAGATCAAAGGTTTTCTCGACACCCTTTGTAAGTTTTGACAGCAGTAAGTAGCTGACTGGGCCTACAAAGACCGCGACAGTTTCAACTCTAAGCTGCATTACAAACAACCAACCAACATATTAACAAAAAAAAGATTACTAAATCCTGTTTAAAAGAATCCGGAAAGAGCATATAAAGAACACATACAACCTTAGATATGATGGTTGAAACACATGGAATCCAATGAAAAATTCAAGTGTAGGACCCAACAAAAAGTACGTGTTTTTACAATATGCTTAATTATCTATTATGTTGTAGACATGAGTTCCCTTGTCAATACCTGCAAGCTGTCATATTTTTTGTTTATCTGTTACCAATATAATTTTTTTTCATCCTCTTTGTTAGAATTCTTTTGACTGATTCCATTCTTTCCAAAAGCATCAGGTTGTACAAGATTATATGTATACGGTTTGGTAGTAATGAGATAAAACAAACATATGACAAAGTTGTCGTCAAGATTTGAAAATGAATATTTTAAATATGCATACCCAAGTTGTCAACAACATGCTTTGAATATACTTGAAGTGCATTATCAATGCCTCAGAACAGGCTGTTCATTTCTCCAGATCTCATAGGAATCTTTAGAGCAAAAAATTGGTCAACAGTCTGAAAGAAGATAAAAACAAAGGTATGTTATTAATGTATTATAGTGAATGGAAATGGATGCTTAAGAGTAGATATAATAAAGAGCAAAGAAATAAGAACCTCTGCTATAATGCGATAGACTTCAACAATCGAACTCCCATGTCGTTGCTGCATCAAAACGGGTTCCCATTTCTGAAATATTAAAATAAAAAACATAATTAACCAAGAAAAAAAACAGAAAATCATTAGTGGCAAGAAAACCAATTCAATTAGTTACCTCCTGTTGAATAGCTCGCTCATGTTCAATGCCATTGCCCTAACTACAGTTTTATGATGAATGTAGTACTAAAAATCAGAAATCGGCATACTAATTTCATAAATTGAACCCAGAATCGCGTTTTGAAACTACTGGATTGCAGAATTAAACTCGTTCCAGGTACCGATTTGGAACTATCTTGACTCCGTGCCGATTTACGATCCGGGAATCGTTTGGAACGCTTTCGTACCCCGATTGGGTATGAATCGATTTGGTACGAAGTTCGTGGCCATCTGAGCGAATTTGAAACTATGGGAAAAACCCTAACTAACCTCAAATTAATCGGTTTTTACTGGAAAAAAAAGGCAGAAATCGAGAGAGTTGGAGTTTACCTGTATAGGCGCTTGGTATGGTACCGCCGATCCACCGTCTTCTTCTACCACCAGTGTTTGTAACTGGAACGTTGAGAAAGCATCGATAGAGTAGAACCGTAGCCGATGAGGAAGAAAAATAATGAATTGATGAAGGAGGTGTAATAGGTATTTGATATAAGAGACGGTGAGGGCAACATAATTTTTGATGGGAACTATGTGTGGTCGCGAAGGGGCTGAAATCAATCAGACACAAGAACACCACCACATCTTCCCCTTCGTTGCTCTCTTTTTCAGGGTCCAAGTAGATCATTCTCACTGGTGACGATGGAGGCGAGAATAGTGGTGGTTCGAGAATAGTGGTGATCTGATGATCCGATGACGGTGTGTTTGTGGAGACAAGGGATAAGAAGGTGGGGGTTTAAAAAATTGATCCATAATTTTAGTGTGAGGGTCAATTTGGAAGAAATCTCAAACCCTTAACCTTAAACATGATGTGAAGCAATTGATCCATAATTTGAGGCTAGTAGAGGAAATGAGAGGTGCAGACGAGGGAGAAGAAGGTGGGGGTTTAAAAAATTTGGGGATTTCATTTTCCCTCCGAGACGCGCGTTTCTTAAAAAAAATATAAAGCAACATTCACAGACGACGCACAAGCGTCTTCCGTGTTTTTAATATTTTTACATGAGACACTAATTTAAGGGCACTCAGTAATGCGCGACCTAAATCCTTAAAATTATTGAAGAGATGACACTTTTTTAATGTCGCTCTCTAATGCGTCACATAAATCAAAGAGCGCCGTGTTTTGCACGTCGTAAAAGGGTTGTTAGAAATTTTGTTACAAGACAACTCCATTAAGTTCCTATTCATTGATTCTTAATACATGATGTGATAAGATTGCATTTGAATGTTTTGAAGGATCGGTGAAAAGAAAGGAAGCTTGATAAGAGAGCAAGATGAATCTAATCACAAGAGATGGATCTCGATCTCATGGACTTGAAGATTGGATTTTGAGCTTAGATAGTTATGATAGAGTTGTTAGAAATTTTGTTTTTACATAGTTTTCAACAGATTTTGCATTGTAAGGACAAATGTTTTTCCGCTGCTTTTATAAATAAAATAAATTTTGTTTGACTTATTTATTTATTTGTTTACTTCCTTGCAATGAAATCATTATGAAAACTTGATGTTTACATATTTCTACAACGAATGAATATGATTCTTAGTTATGTTATTTATGGAAATGTCGAGAATTTACCAAATAGGGAGAGTTTCTCATCGCCTAAAGTTTCAATTGGACCGAAATTTGGAATCACGCAACTTGGTTGCATGATGAATGAGAAATTTCATTTTTGGAAATTAGACTAATTCATTGACAAAGTGTCAAATGAAGGACTGGGAGATCGAGTACACAAAGTTGTGTGTTGATTAAGTTCACCATAAGAGTAACAAAGATATTCGTCATGATTTACTAAAGGCTTAGTAAATATGATTATACTTACAGGATTAAGTGTAATTTTGAATTGATGAAAGGGTTTAGATCAATAGCAAAACGAATAAGAAGAATCAAGTAGGCAGAAAGATAAGAGTTTCTCCATTCTAAGAAGAAGGGAGAGTAGCTTTTATGCTTTATGATAGATCTTAATGATTAAGAACCATATCTCAATTGATCCTCTAAGTGAGTCTTGGTACAATTGTATGTCCAAGAAGAGGAATCAAAGATTGAAGAAATGGTCAAATCAAGAAGTCAATCATACTTCATTCCAAAACAAGTCTTAAAGTCAAGATTGTGACATTGAGTGAATAGTATTAAGAAGGTTTATAACATTCATCAATTGTGGAAAGTTGTGATGTCTTGGATAAGACAAAGACCAACTAAGACCAAAATTATGAAGTGTTTTGTTTTGATAAAAGCTACACTAACTCTTGAATATTTGTTTGTCAAGAAATGTTTTGATAAGAGAATCGTATATGTCAAGGAGTCAGTGGGAGTCTTAATAGTCTTGAAAAGCTTCAAGAACAAATCAAATAAACCTTATCGATCATCACTAGCACACGAGTTGAGGTTTACAACCTATCGTGAAGACATTATTTTGTTTCTGTGCCAATCCAATCGAGTTAATTATGCATGTGAGTCCTATGAGTTCTCATTTGAATGCATAAAAGGCAAGGACCTTGATCAATGGAAAGTACATTGATAGGAAAAGGTGAGCTGCTTAACTACTTGGAAGACGTGGTGGGCAGCTGTGCTACCATAAGGCAAGAAATCAAGATTAAGAAAGTTCGATCCATATGAGTTTGAATTTGTCGTAAACTTTGGTTTTTAACAAATTCACATGGATAGGAACACATACACCGTTTAAATCTAAGTGTCATAAGATTTCCTCCTTCATGAAAATGATTGTGAGAAAATGCTTTCACTAAGAAAGATTTTAAGAAGATAGTGATTGTAAAATTGCATTCTCGAATTCGATTATGGTTACGGCATCCCTTTCCATAATTTGAGGTTTGGCAATTAGTCTTAATTGTTTAGACACACATATGAACTATCGAAGGCAAAGGTGTATAAGTTCAAGAAGCCTTGATAAAAGATTATCAAAGCACTAAGTATTAGAAACATGAACTTAAGAAATTCAATAAGTATTGTTTTTCTGAAAGTTAAGATGTTTATGAATACATGTCGAAGCTAGTGGGAGCATAAGTGTTATGTTTTATAATAATCATCATGATAGTGGGAGCATAAATTTTATGATTGTATGATTATTAAGGCACGTATTGCATAGTTGGCAATATTAATTATAGAAAACAAGAGTCATACTTTGCAAAGTTGTAAGAGTTATAAAGTTGTTTTGCTATAATTAAGGGAGAGAATATTATGCTTCATTTCAAATCTAAAGGATTAGGTTGTGGAATGTTAATAAATTTAGTCAAAGGTACATTGTGTGTTCTTAAAATTTCGATTATGATTACGGTATTCCTCTTCACAATTCGAATTTTGAGAACATAGCAAATAAAACATTATGCATCGTGTCCCATACGCTTCGGGTATAGGATCGATTGCAAATGCTTTAATGTTTGACCATTCTAAAATTTTCCAAATGTCTAGCGCATTTAGAGGGAAAAGAGACTAGAATTGGTTTTTACTAAAATAATTAAACAACTATCAAAGGACAATCCAAAGTTCGACGAGGATTGGTCGCTTGTGAGTAGTTGAAAGTATAGTATTGAAAAAAAATATGGAAATGTTTCCATATTGGATGGACCATATCGATATCATTACAAATAGATAAGATTCTATTAAGAATGAGTTGTCATGAGGAAAATATGGAAGCGTGTTCATATTAGGAAGTAAATATTGAAAATCTATGTCTAGATTAGAAACTTTTATGCAAAAGGATGTTCAAAGGAATGTACTTTGAGAGAGATACATCATATCTAAGGAATTGTCTTGTAACAATCTCCGATAGAGGACTTTGTAATATCATTGGCAATAGTCTTTGTGACTTTGGTGCAGTGACATTACGAAAGGATCGGTGCATAAAGTGTTAGAATCTAGCATATTCTATAAGTAGCGAGAATTTGATATTCTTACACTTATGAAAAAGGATTTGGAGTTGTAAAATGAGAATGATTGGAAATGTGTTCAATTTGTCTATTTCACAAGTAAGAACCATAGGTAAACATTGTGTGCATGCTAGGAGCATGGGACAAGTGTTGGAATTCAAGTAAGAAGTTGATTACCCGAAATGACAAATAATGAGTAATCGATATGGTGATAAATAAAACGTGTTTTATTTATGCTCAAAGGGTTGAGGCCATATGGGATTAGTATTATTCTTGTGTTTCACCTTGCATGTTTTGACTTCCAGAATAATTGAGTTTATTAAGAATAATCGAATTATTCAAACGGGCCACAGTCGTTCATATGTTGGAAGTAGATATGAATGAAGACTGCCGTGAATTGGTGTGTGGATTGTCTAGAAGAGTATTAGACATAAGCAAATGTTTGCTGCAACGTTCATGAGTGCTTATGAATATGATTTGAGCATTGGATTAAACCCACGCTCACTTGGATCACTATCTCGAGTGATTAGTGAGATGATAACATCTTATATTCTTGAAACCGAGATGTGTGAGTTGTATCTTGCTAATCGGTTGCACATTGATAATATGTAAACGCACTAGTAACTTGGTGTTATAAAACATACTGTTGTGTGTGATTTGGTTAGTGAGTGCAAGCAAGCATTGTATCGAAGTTTATCTGTTCCTTTTATCCAAAGTAGGATAAAATCGATATCTTTTGGGCCCCTCGATGGTTTAGTGATGACATACGTAAATGCTCGGCCGGGCTAGGGCTAATTTGATTTGTTCAATTAGTCTGTCATCATAAATCGGAAATCGAGATATAGTACAAAGAGAATGATTAGAAATCATATCTCATACGATATCTAGAATGGAGGAATATATGATCCCTTATCTAAGGACACACGTATCTGATGTGATCAGAGTTGACAGCGGCTTTGGAAAGCTACGATTGCAGATCGGGATCCGAAGTCATACGCATAATAGTTATTAGACTTATCCAAGTGGGAGACTGTTGGATTAGTGTCTAAGTCCATAACTATTTTGGTATGTACTTGACCCGATGGTGCATGGTCCTTTTGGGTTGCCTTCACCAAAGCAACTTGATAGGATGAATTATGGAGAGAAAGGATTAAATGTGATTTATTAATATATTATGGGAATAATATATTAAAGGAGAAATCATATTGTTTAATTAATATTAGTCAATAATTAATTGGTAATTAGTTTTGTGACTAAAAGAGATTAATTAAACTTAAGGGACTGGAATTGTAGTTATAAGATAATTGCAATTTGGGCCATGGATTTCCTTATATTAAGGGATGGACGAATTCTAATGGGAAACCCATAAGGAAATCGTCCATGGGCTTAATTAAAGGAGTCTATGGGTTGCTTAGGGCTTAAGCATCCAAATTAGGGTTTCCTTGTTAGATAACCCTAATAGCCCAACTATATAAAGACTCCTTAAGGTTCAAAAACGTGGCTAATGATCTTGCTAGGGTTTCTACACGTTTTGGTAGCCTCCAACCTCTCTCCTCTTCATCCTCTTGCTTATGGTGTTTGTGAACCATTAGAGGAGTCACACTTGTGACTCTAAGCCTTCCAAAGTCAATTCAAGGAGGAATTGGGATTGTTATTGCTACATAACAATCAAGGTATGATCTTAAACCTAATTACATATTAATATGACTACTTGTATGCTATAATTAGGGTTTATAGTCTTGGATTCAA